ATGGTGCGGCCACCAATTCGACCCCTTCTTGGCCGCCTATTCAAATGACTGATTCCAGAAGTAATGGCATCAAAGACGGCTAGACGCGAACATAACGCGCTCAGCGACGGCGGCAATGGTGTCAACGTCAGGCTGCAGCGGTGTCTGGAACTTTTCTTCTATACGTGTTACACGTATCAATTTCTCAGACGTGTCAGCTAATGTCTGCAATGCGCTGAGACCGAAGATGTCTTCTGGCGCAACCACCGCCATCACCACGTCGACTACCGCATTACGTCACGCCCACGCTCCACGCGCATCCTCACTTCGACTTCGATCGATTTATCGAGTGATCAACGGCGAAAATGCGATAATGGCTAGAGCAGACAAGCGTGACTCGTATTCAGTCGATTGTGTGACGGAAGAAAAAAACGAAGACGACAAAGAAGTTCGATCAGTCTAGACATGAATAGCTGTCGTCGAAAACCGAATCGATCGCTTACCTTTAGACGATCGACCATTTCGAAACGCCGATAGGACAATCGAAGGCGGTAACGCAGGAGAAGAGCCCACTACCATCCACTAATGGATAATCGCTACGCAAATAACGTGTCGAAAGAAACCTATAAAGGCAAGATGAGAGTGGAGGTGAGCGATTCAGACAACCTGGTGAGGCAGGTACCGAGGGCGAATACGGCCGAACTTGCAGCCGCCAGTTGAATATGGCACTTGGACCCAGTACAACTACTCTGACCACTACTTTCACATCACTTTGATCATACCACATTTTTGACTACGGTGCAGAAAATCCTACTCCATGATCATCAGTCGGATGGACACTGCGAGAGTTGGACACACTAATAAACCGGAGCTAAGGCTTGATCACTATCCGAACTTACTGACATTGATTAAACTGCACCAACGCAAAGTATATTATCGGATTCTTCAAAATCAACGATTATGCGGGCAACTATTATCTAGGTTCGGAATAACCTCGATATGGGTGGAGAAAATGATAAGAGGTCGGGTTCGAAGTCCAATTTGAGAGGTGCCAATTTTGAACCGAAAAAATTCATTTAACTCCTAATTCTCTAGACAAGTATATGCCGCGGAATAACATACTCGAAGAAACAAGAGCAATGTGGCATCAGGTCAGACCGAAGCACCTCTCACCAGATCTTCGCCTTATACATGATTGTTGAGATACGGTGGGCGATCATTCATCCCGTTTACATTACTTTGTTGACCTGGAGACAGCCCATTAACGGATCCCGCGCAAAAAGCTACAGCGCA